GTATCTGTGTCTTATGGAATATCTTTCTTCCCCCTCCTCATATCCCAATTGAACTGTGGAGTCCTATCATCTGCACAAGGGTGCAGAAGAACTTTGCAAAGTCATGGAAGGCCTACCTAGTCCATGTTATTGTAGGAATTATTGTAGATCACAAGTAGAATATGAACAAACAGTACAATGTGATTGCAAAAAAGGCAAATGCTATTTTAAACTGCATGAACAGAAGTATAGTCTCCAAATCGGGTGAAGTACTAGTTCCCCGCTATTCAGCACTGATTAGGCCTTATCTTGAATACTTTGCCTAGTTCTGGACACCGTACTTTAAGAAGATGAAGACAAACTGGAAAAGATTCAGAGAAGGGCAGCAAGCATGATCAGGGGACAAAAAACCAAGCCCTGTTAGGAAAGACTAGAGAAACTGGACATGCTTAGCCTTAATTACATGTTATTAACGGCCAAAATCATATTGATATTCCAAAGACTTGATTCTGGCACACCTTTATGTCTGAACAATCCTACCTGTGAACAAAGCCCATGTTTACTTCCCAATGTCCATTCACAAAACAAAGCAAGCTGACCTTCAAATTATGGGAGATGTGAAAAGCTTGTGCTGTGACAACTGACATATTTCAGAAAATAAGGAGTTCTCTCCTCTAATTGCAATCTGTAAAGTATAATTTGATTCTAAAATAATCTCAGACTGCAGATACATCATTGTATGTCTTAATTTAAATGAATATGAAGAACTGGATTATTTAACGATGTACAGTTAGATTGGCCTGTTTCATTATAATTATTGCTTTAATATGCATCCTACCTTCCTGCATAAGGTGCCTTTCATAGTCCATGCTTAACATTCTACAGGTGAACTGTCTTCAGAGAAAGTAGAAAAACACAGAATTTCTCTTATGTGCTCTGCCTATATACCTCCACTACACCTTTAGGATATTACCACCCTTAATACTTATTTATCTTAGACTTATACTTAGTCAACAAACATAGGTTGCTCAATGTTTCTCCAGGAAACCACATGATATATCAGTTTCTCCTTGGGGTCTCCAAATGGCCTTCTGTTTTCATAATCAACAAACATTATCAACAGAAGCCTTAGGTTTCCTGTATTTGCACTCAAACCTTCTATATAATCCACAGTCTGGAAGACCTAGAGGAAGGGGGCCTAGAACATCTTTGCCAATTGAAGCTGAAGCTACTGTAATCTTCCCTAAGCTCTTTTGCTGCCTTTATGACACACGGACAACTGAAAGAGACCTCAAGCATTGCATTTAGGCACAGAAACAAGCAAGACATTCTGGGAAGAATTCCAGGGCTAGAACCTGATCTACATGCCAGTACTTCTTGAATTCATCTTAGAGAATAGAAGTCTTATCTCCAAACCTTTATCGTCACCTCTCAAAACCAGGACCTGGAAAAATTACTATTTTGCATTAGAATGGCTAGAATTTCCTAAAAAGCTAAGAGGTTTCGCCTCTTTTTTACATAATTAAAATTATGTTTAATTTTGGAGTGCTGGATACTATGCCACTCCATAGTGACATATGGAAATTCCCCTCTCTACTTTTGATGGAAATTTCCCTCTCTACTTTTGATGCTCAGAGCATTGACCACCACAAGCTGTTTCTCATAATCGAGGAAGTACTAGGGTTTTCTACATCATGCGTTTTCTCCTCTTTACCAAACCAAGTGCCACTCTATTATACTAATCTTTTCTAAAATTTGATTCATGCCACAGGACTATAAAAAAAAATGAAATAAGCATATGAATTCACAAGCTGATGCCATTGGAAGGATGACCCCAGAAACATTTTGTCCATCAAGTATTTTTGTTCAAATGATCAAAAGTTTAGATAAATCTGAGCCATGCAATGCGGAAAGATACTGTGGCAAAGCAACAAATCTGCAGACCATGAGAAAGATGAATCATACTGAGTCAGAATCCACTAAAATTCAGTCCTAACACTTCTCTTTTATTAAAAAAGTGTATAGTTTTCACAGCAACCCAGAAAGAAAGTTAATGGCATTCTTGATCACCTCCAAGTGAAGTTAAGTCATGTTGCGATAACAGTCAGCAGAAGGGTCCAACTAAGAAAAGTTTATAAAAGAGCACTGCGGATAGCATGGAGGACAAAGAAAGGTTCTATTCTGAAAATCCAACTTTTGGATATATTTCCATAAGAGCAGTTTTTAAAGACCCCCTTCCCTTTGCCAGCTTATCCTTCCAGAGGACAAAGCAAAAAATTAGGCCACAGTCATCATTGCTTCATACACACAACCCCCATTCTCCCACCACTCACCGGTTTCAGCTTCAGTTTCAGACTCATTTCTATCTGTACGTTGAAAGTAAGTGCTGCCTGTGTGAGCAAGGGAGCCAGACTGAGCGAGGGGAGAGGGGAGCGGTGCAGTGCTCCCTAGCCTAGACACTGCATTGCTTACATCACTCCCCAGAGTGGTGAGGAAGAGCTGTAATCACACTCCAAATACACTACATGAATTATTCCTGACACGGAAGTGGGTGTGGGTGGGTGAGTAGGCTAGTAATACTTTTGCAGACTTTTTCATTAGTAGGGCCTTATTTTCTTTTTCTCCACAACAGAGACAAATTCATCCTCCGTTCCGAAGTTTGGCCTTTGAGTTGGATTCTAGTATAACTCTTCCTCGCTGAAACACATACATCTACAATGTTACATTAGAATTGGAGAGGGCGACTCATGCATTTTGCAGAAAAGATCCACAAACAGATCTTCAAATTGCCAATTCCTTGAACATTTTATAATTACACAATGTTAATGTGCATCATATATATGTTTTGGTGTAGCACTCTAGAAAGCTTCTTGGAAGTACTAGGGACAAGAGAAAGGGAGACAGGAAACACCAGTATTACTTAGAGATCTCAGTCTCTAAGTTTTACTGCCTGCCCCATGGTTGCCATGTCCTGTGTTCTTCCAGGTACTATTTCCCACCTTCTAGAGTCCTTTTCAAGATGAACTTGAACACACTGTTGTTTCTGTTAGAGCTTCAAACTTAATTTTTCACACTTCAACTTGCAATGGCTATGCTGGCTGGTGGATTTCAGGAGATAAATTACATCGTCTAATCTTCCCAGGTTTCTTTAGGCACGGCCCATGTTTCAGACTCTTTCTCCATATCCAAGAAAACAAGGCACTTCTAAGATCCAGTGACATATGTAATTTTCCGACTTTACTAATGCCACCACTGATGTTATTTTCAAACACGGTGGTGTGCCAAAACAGAAATCAAAAGTATGGAACTAAGCTAGATTCAGGCAACCAGCTCTCTGTGGGTTGGGAATGAAACCACACTGGCTTTTCCTGCTTCTACCACACTGTCAGAAACTGTAGGGAAAGAATTCTTCCTCATTCTGAAGATAAATGATTAAAACTGAGGCACTTGTGACATTGTAGATGCCCCACACACTTCTGAAGATAAATGATTAAAACTGAGGCACCTGTGTCATTTTAGATGCCCCCCACACTCTTTCCTATGTGCCCTTTCCTCTATGCTCCTTTTAAATTAGTAACTCAAAAGGTGACAGAGAGGGAAACATTAGCTTTTGTTACTACAGCTCCCAAGTTCCCCTGCCAGCATGGCCACTAGAAAGTAATATCTCCTAGTTCTGCAGCTGGTTGTGCACCACAAAGTCTAAGTTAGGGGAAACTGACATAGTAAACAGGGAGGGTGCGAATTATTACCATTCAGTCTATCAACATGAAATGCATCTTGGATTAGGGCACATTCTTGAGGCATCTTTCTGGAACCAGCAGGATTAATGGCTAATGTTTACTGGCAAGATTACTGTGGTGTCATATCCACGACAGCAGAGTGCTCATAGACTCTGCCCTTTCTGTCCAGCCTTCAGCAATGACCTGTCAACTCCAATCCTGTCACCTCCAGCCAGCTAATGACCCAGTATTGACAAACTGGTGTCGCTACTGATCAGGCATCAATCCTGTTGCCTAGCAGCAGTATCCCCTACGTGGCAACTGTTTTATGTCCTCCCTGCTCCCTTGCAACAGCACATGCAAAATCTAAGCCAAAACCTCCAGGAAGAAACATCATGCCCCCAAGGTTGTTTCAAAGTGTTTGGGAAGAGCAGCACGAATAAGATGAAAGAGGTCCACCTGAGGAGGTCAAACATGAAAAATCAAGGAGCCACAGTTGTTCATCATAAGAGCATAAGAAGAGTCCTCCTGGATTAGACCAACAATCTGTCCAGGATCCTGTTTCCAGCAGAGAACAGGATCCTGGACTTGGAAACCCAAGCACAGGATAAAGTGGAGTTAGCCCAGCTCCAGCCTATGTATGTGGTATCCAGCACTCAGGGACACCCATGGTCAGTTCTACCATTAGGCACAGTGAAACAACAGCCTCAGATGGCAGATGCTGAGAAGCAAGGGTATAAACTCCAGGCATCCCTCCTGAGCTTCACAGTTACCCCCCCTCCCAGTTATGGACAGAGTTGTATGTGCCAGATGGCCTATACTGCATTCCTGATCTAGGTTGGGAGCACCATTTTGTCACTTGTCTCAGACAGTCATGGAGATAAACTACCTACTATAGCAATAGAAGATGTAGGCTCCACAAATTCATTTCACCCTTAGGAAATAAAACCATCATAAAAGTTAGTGATCCTCAAGGGTCACCTCATGTTCTTCTCTCTTGTCCTATGTATGATCCAGGTTTTTTGGGGGGGTTGGGGTGGGGTCCCATTTTATTTTATTTTATTTTAGAGTTTCAAAGCATAATTTTTTGGGACTACATTTCTGAGAGTTCCATAGCTAGCATGGCCTCTAGGGAAGTCTTGGAGGTATAGTCCAAAAACATAAAAAAGGAAAAAGAAAAGAAAAAAGTGATTTTTGCAAATTTCCCCTCATCCCATTTTGCCCCCCCCCCAGTCCTGATAGAAGCCATATTTGACTACACCGCACTACCTCTGGTGGTCAGAAAATTGAGGATCCACCTACCTGAGTGACTTTTTCAGTTACATTCTGCTGGGTGCGTTCTGCCACTTTGTGTGGTGCAATAATCTCAATTTCTGTGGTGGAGCCTGACCGGTGTTTCTCTAGGTTGAACTCCACAAAGTTGAGAGTGAATTGCGGTATCTGACTGATGGTCCTATATTTCATCAGATCGGAGTCCGACGTGGAATTCTGGCTGGTCTTGATTTGTGATGCTTCTGGAGGGAAAGGCAATGAAGATTTTGTCCAATTAGGTTGCCAGGAACACTCAACGTGGACAACTCATGCCTCCCCTCTCATTTCTGCACTTGATTCCCACGCCTTTCAGCACTGCTTTCAATACATTTTAACCTCATGGCAGGATTTGCCCATGCTAATCTATGTATGTACATAAAAATGTAGAAAGAATAGCTGTAATTTAAATACAAATATAAAATATTGCTCAATCATTACCAAGTGAACTGTGTACCTATTCAGTTTGCTGTCTTGTTCTAACTGTTGAGGGACAATTTAAATCCCCTACTCTCCATCCTCAGGTTTTTTGCCCCTCAATGGGATTAGGACTGGCTGGCCTATAAACAGAGGTCATGTTCAAAAATGATGCCTTATATATTTTTTTCAGTTTAAAAATGTATTTTTCTTAGCTTTATTAATCAAATACAATTACATGTTACATTTTTTTCTATTTTCTTTGTAGATATAATTCAAGAAGAGTTTTTATTATTTTACACATTCAACCATGGTTTCTTTATTCATGTATCTTCAATTGAACTACTGTACTCTGTAAAGCAGGTCACAGGGTCACAAACTGCTGCCACAACTGTATCACCCTTGGCATCACCCCATGTTGTTACCCCTTTGTGTTATAAGACTGTTTCCTTTCACAATGGCAGCTATACAGAGATCTGTGGTTGTGTCAGTTGTTATAAAGGTAAAGGTTCCCCTTGATAATTTTTGTCCAGACGTGTTTGCCTCTAGGGGGCGGTGCTCATCCCCGTTTCCAAGCCATAGAGCCAGCGTTTGTCCGAAGACAATCTTCCGTGGTCACATGGCCAGTGCGACTTAGACACGGAACGCTGTTACCTTCCCACCGAGGTGGTCCCTATTTATCTACTTGCATTTGCATGCTTTCGAACCACTAGGTTGGCGGGAGCTGGGACAAGCGACGGGCACTCACTCTGTCGTGTGGATTCGATCTTACAACTGCAGGGTCTTCTGATCCTGCAGCACAGGCTTCTGCGGTTTAGCCCGCAGCGCCACCACGTCCCTCAGTTGTTATAGTTACTGCCAAATACTGCCCGTTAAGTATTTCAATGTGTGATTTTAAAAGACTGTGCCAAACACTGTGAAGTTGAGGGCCTACTGGCTTGCTATGCCCTGAGATCCATGGCTTGGCTTATAATGTTCTAGTTGCCATTTCATCTCTCCAATCCATATGTGGTGAGATTGGGCTAGAAATAGGTAACACTCAGAGGTATTGTCATATTATGCCATTTCTTATCTGTCAGTCCCCCCACAAAGATTTGTCTGTCCCCTCTCTAGCTCTTGTCATCTTCTCTGTAAGGCAAGGATGGGGCATTCGTTCATTTACTGCCCCATTAGTGTCATGTCCAGGCTTCCAAATCTTGTTGGCCTGCAACTCCCATCAACCCAAGTTAGCAGATCAGAGGCAAAAGATCATACACACATAAGTCCAGCAACAATGAGACATACTTCAGGGATGTTTTGCTTTCTGCATTCAGTTTGGTGGTCTACCCACTGTGAATTCAGATCAGTTAACAATTAAAGACATTCCTGACAGGAGTAAGTTGCAATATTCTTATCCCATACAAAAGTTTACTCCTTACAAGAGGAAAATCCAGTCTTTTTAATCATAAGACATATCAAGAAATATCTGGGGTTTAACACATATTTGGATGCTGACACCAGTTTAATGGGAGAAGGCACTCCATGTCTCTTTAACCAGCTTCTGTAATGATCATAAGAGCAAAGAAACAATCACACTCAGTGGTAACCCAACAGCACAGAGATGACAGCGTGAGTACTATACCCTACCTGAGTTTGCTCTCCTTTCCCTGAACTTTCCCTGGAACTCAGATTTTGCAGCCTCCAAATTCTCCAATGAGGAGACCTGGCGAAGGCTATGGAAGCTGCCCCAAGACTGGAACCGGCACAAACTTCTGGCAGGACGTGGCCCTCGAGGGCCAAGGGGAGGCAGTTCATGTGCTGGGGGTAAGTGATGTACTTCAGTATCAGGTGCAATCTCCAGGCTTTGCCTTCTCTCTTTCCCCAGGAGTGCTTCTGTTTCCGCTTGGCCACTGATCTCTGCAGTCAATGTCTTCAGCTCCCTCAGTTTGAAAGAGTCCCCTCCGGGCTTTAAGACAGCCAGGAAGAAAGTGTTTCCATTAAGAAGAGCTCTTGCATGGTTTAAAGCAACAAGAGAGGGTAGGTAAAGGGAAGGAGTAAAGGCTGGGAAGTGAAGCACAGTCATGGCAATAGGATGATGGTCCAATTGGGACATCTTCTTGGTTTGGTTCATTCCTGAATTAGCAAGCCCCTCCTGGTTTCTGTAGCTTTGGTTACCTTTCTGTAGTTGCTCAACTGTAACGCTTTAGAGAATTCTAGACATTTCATATATGATGATCCTTAGCACAACTCTCCAGATATGTCAATTCTGTTACAGATACAGAGCTAAGGCAATAGGAATAGTGGCTTATCTGGGGCTACTGACTGATTTAATGGCAGAGGTGAGAACGGAAACAGAAACATCCTAGTTTATAGCTTAGTCTCTTAACTGATATCCCTAACAGGCATAGGCAAAGTTAGTCACATCTAGGTCTCACTAGCCAAAATCCTCTTGCTCAGCATAGTAAATTACACTCAAGTAGGCCCATTGAATTAATGGGGATCAGGTGAACCAACTCCTCTGTACTTTCCATTGATTCAAGTGGGCCTTTTGTAACTAACTTACTTTAGCATAGTAAGTTAAAGTTAGAGTAGGCCCATTTGAATCAGTGGAAATTATGGAGTAGATTAATCAAGTCCCCATTGATTCAATGGCCTACTTTAATGCAATTGACTATGCTAAGCAGCAGGATTTTTGGCTTCTATTTAAAACTTATTTGCATGAATCAGGATATTACCACAAGAAATATAGCTATTGAAGCACACACTGTTTCTTACATATAAGATGATCTCAAACTCCACTCTGGCAGAATGCTAGTATTGTAGAAAAACAGCTTTCCTGACAGTGGCATAGCTCTTCTTTTAAGGGAATTTTCTCTGTAAACAAAGGTGTTACACTTATTCTGAAAGGGGAATAAATGGAGGAGGTGGGAAGAAATCAGCATGTCTGGAGAAAAGGAGATACAGTATAGGCCCCTTGCAACGATACACCTTGCTTATGAACACACAATAAAGTAATGTTCTATTTACAGTGTATTTATTTACCATAAAGAAAGCAGCTCTAAAGCAATTGCTGCTGCTGTACAGACTGTGTGATTATTACTGGTTTGAAAGGAACACCACAGAGGACATCAATTCATGTAGTTCTCCCCAAAGGGAAAAACAAAACGTGCTCCTACACCTAGCGATGAGTGAGTTCGTGATATGTGAATGCACCTAGGACAAACTTTTTAAGCAGCTTAGTCAGAACAGTCTCCTCTGCTAAGGCTAAGTTAGTAAATCAAAAACAGCAGAGACAGATGGGAGAAAGATCTTGCTTATTGGGGACTGGTTTTCCCCTGCCCCCAAATCTGGGGATTCTGCAACTTTTTGTCATTATCTCGGATAATATAATCTTACACTGAGTTATTGTGGGGTATTTTCTGAACTCAGTGAGAATTTTAAGGTACTGAGATGCTGAGTCAGTGACATGTTTATACATGCACATCTTGCATTTACTGATATCAATGATATCATACTAATAAATAAGACATGGCACTTATGTTTTCTTTCATCATGGGTTACCAAAAACATTTTTGTCCCAATATAATATTCATTGAATGAGACACTAAATCACCTCAAATACAAAAAACTATGGGTTTTAGGACCTTTTTTTGTTCCTACTAATTTTGCTTATTAAAAAACAACAAAATCTTTACATGTTGAGTAGATGAAATATGCGACATTGCCCAAAGCAGATTAGTAGCAGATGCCTGCTCTCAAGGTCACCTAACAGAACCTTTCCATTTAGTGCTAATCTGCTAAACACCAGTGATGCCCAACCTTGGGTCCCTGTAGATGTTCTTGGTTTAATTTCCCTGGAGCCTTCACCACTAGCTGTGCTGGCCAGGATTTCTGGGAGTTGTAATTCACAAACATCTGGGGACCCAAGGTCGGGAACCACTATACTAAAACAACAACAACTCAACAGAGAAGATCCTTAAGATAAGTATATAGTTCTTTTTAAAGACAGAAGTGGATTAGTAGTTTTCTACTGCAAAGGACTTCCAGAGGAAGCTTTCAGTTTAGAACTGAGCCACTACAACAATAACAAAATTAAAATCTAGCAAAGAAAATTATTTTTAGAGTGGCTGTTCAAGATTTTTTAAAATAGTTTTAGATTTCTTGAAGATGGCCAATTTCTTAAAATAAAAAGAAACGGAGTTTTAAGAGGCTGCAGACAGAAACTTAGGTTAAGGTCTGTGCTCATTAGCTATTGAGTGCCTTGTTCAGAGGAGCCCTAAAATTGATTCTCCTAATCCATGATACCTGAGGATTAAAATGACATGTAACATCTGCTGGGCAATCACTCCAACCCAACCCCAAAAGTAATAGTCCTACAGCTGGACCAAAAAGGTCCAACTTGGACATAGATTGGGTTTGGGCTGGAACACATTTCCTTGTACGTGTAAATACTGGGAATTAGATTGCATGAGACTGTTCCACAAAGGGTCCAAATTGTGATCTATTTACCCACGTGAACATACCCTGAGACTTTTTAGGATATGAAAGTGGTGACCAGACAAAAATAAATCCAGACTTTCTAATGGAAGTAAACATTCTTCCAAGATGCTTATACAGCACAGGTGTCTTGCAACTTTCTTTTCCAGTGGCCTGGAAACTTTGTAAAAGCAGTCTCTCTATTAAGATATAGATGAGGTGAAACAGGATACTGGATGGCAACATAGGATGACAATCCTAGAAAAATTAGGTGATAGTGGTGGCAATGATATTGGTAGCAGCAGCAGTCAGTTTGTTTAGGTGATAGTCTCCTCTTGCCTTCACACTTTCCCAACATCAGGTTCTTTTCCAGGGAGTCTTCTCTTCTCATGAGATGGCCAAAGTATTGGAACCTCAGCGTCAGGATCTGTCCTTCCAGTGAGCACTCAGGGTTGATTGCCTTCAGAATGGATAAGTTTGATCTCCTTGCAGTCCAGGGGACTCTCAAGAGCCTCCTCCAGCACCACAATTCAAAAACATCAATTCTTCAGTGGTCAGCCTTCTTTATGGTCCAGCTTTCACTTCCATACATCACTACTGGAAAAAAACCATAGCTTTGACTATGCGGACCTTTGTCAGCAAGGTGATATGTCTGCTCTTTAAGATGCTGTCTAGGTTTGTCATTGCTTTCCTCCCAAGAAGTAGGTGTCTTTTAATTCTGTGGCTGCTACCAGCATCTGCAGTGATCATGGAGCCCAAGAAAGTAAAATCTGTCACTGCTTCCATGTTTTCCCCTTCTATTTCCCAGGAGGTGATGGGACCAATGGCCACGATCTTAGTTTTTTTGATGTTGAGCTTCAGACCATTTTTTTTTGCGCTCTCCTCTTTCACCCTCATTTTCTTTAATTCCTCCTCACTTTTTGCCATCAGAGTGGTATCATCTGCATATCTGAGATTGTTGATATTTCTTCCGGCAATCTTAATTCTGGCTTGGGATTCATCCAGTCCAGTCTTTCACACGATGTATTCTGCATATAAGTTAAATAAGCAGGGAGACAATATACAGCCTTGTTGTACTCCTTTCCTAATTTTGAACCAATCACTTGTTCCATTTCCAGTTCTAACTGTTGCTTCCT